TGCAATAACAATAAAAGTAACAAAGAACAATAATACGAATAAGAGCTGAACTTCAATAAAGAAATAAGAGTAAGAATGACAATACTGAGTAAGGATAGCTTCCTTGATCAGAAAAGACCCGACTGTTAGTAAGTGACTTGCAAATATATTCGAGTATTTGAGTGTGAATGTGGCTGTACATATATTTTCTTAGCTATTTATACCTAGGGATTGCTAGGGTTTACATATATTTACAGAATATATTTGAAGGGGGGAGGTCTTCATGATATAGTTGATTCTTCTTTCCTTCTTGCTGCCTCGTATTTTTGGTGTGATCGCCTTATTGGTTTGTTGAATGATTTCGTTGCCTTATTTGTACCAATCAAGCCGTTGGTTTGATTCTCCCTACTCTTGTCTTGATGTCTAGGTCTTCTTGGTGGCAGCCCTTTATTTTACTAGCCTATTGGAAATATGGGCCTAACATGTACCACATATTTTTTTATGGAGTATGTATTTTAGATGTATTTGTGATTTTTATACGCAACATTTATGCATGGATGTACAACATTTGGCTGTATGTTGTACATCATTTGTCAAAGTATTTAGCTATTGTCCTCCTCGAGGATGTGATCTACCTAGCAAAGTACTGGTATTTACTAGAGTATGCTGTTTTTCTTTGAGTAGTTTTTATTTTTCTTGCTTTGGTTTGGTTTGTTTTTGCTTCTAGTTTGTTTGTATGGGGCTTGCCCTCTCTTTCACCCAAATTTTTTTTTTGACTTAGTTCCTCGTTTGAATAAAACAAAACATTTTGTGTACACTAGATGTGCAATAATATTTATGTATATCGAATAGTTTTAGAATACTCCGTTTTTTTAAAGTACCTCATTGGGGTGTGTGCGGAGTTTTAGGCAAAAGTGTAAATTAATATATAAGTGGGTATGGTTAGGAATAAATTTTTTTGAAAAAGTAAGAAAGAGAAACATAAATGGAGGACCACTAGGTATAATGTGAGAGGGAGAAATATTATAAAATGATGGTGGAGTCAAAAGGAAGAGAGAAATAATAATTAATGTGAGTAGAGTTTCTAAATTTGGTAATAAGACACTTAAAAAAACGGTCGCTTTTAGAAAGTGGGGCACTTAAAAAAACGGAGGGTGTAACTTTTAACCTGCTTTTGGGGGTAATCTAACTATAAACTTAATACTTATGATTTTTACGTAAATAAGTCATAAGATAAGTTTTCCCTTCAAAAAAAAAAAAAAGTCATAAGATAAGTTTTATAATTAATCATTAAATGATTACTTTCACACACTATGATTTGATTTTTATTCTTAGGGTGGGTGATGAGAATTGATCCCAAGATCTCTCGAAATCTAGAGAAACTCTAACCACTTGAGTTATCTCTCACTCTCAAATTATCATCTGGATTATGGTTACTTTACGACTAATTTACAATATTTATTATACACTTGATTGACGTAAAGGTTAATTATGTGCCAATTAAGACATTTATATATTCCCATCTTACCTTAGAAATATATTATGCTCTATTAATCCACATTTATATATTTATAAATACAAGTATTTAGAATCTAGAACAAAAGCCAAAAAAATCCAAAATAATTTATTACTACCATTGTATTCTAATTTACTCACAATAAAAAAAAATAACAAATCTTTTAAAGTGTCTAATATAAAAAGAAAATTATTCAAAATATCACTCGGAGTAGAGCTCGGGTCTCACACTAGTGAATGAATTAAATTAATGGTAAAAATTATAATACTACAGAGTAATAAATTTTGTCTAAAAAAAGTTTTATATTTTTTTTACTAATTAATGAATATAAAGTGGAATTAACTTATTTAAACAAATTAAAAAAAATTATTATTAAAAAATATTTTAACTTTTTTTTTTAGGAAAAAAATATTTTTACTTAACAGTAAAACATACAAGTAACTTTTTTTTTCAAACAAAACATAACTTTTAATTTAATATTCGGGCGCAATACATTGGTGGGCTTTATTACTCTTTCTTTTCTTTTTCTTTCCTTTTCTTAACAAAAAATACTCCTTGGAGACCAAGCAAAAGAAACCCGAACCCTCCCAAAATCTATAAAAACCCAACTTCAACACCCCCTCACATTCACCATTCTTTACATTATTTTAGAATGGCAAAGTCCAAAAAACATCCCACCAAAACCCTAATCAAAACCCTCCCTAACAACAACTCCACCAAAAAACCTAATAACTTTCTTCCGGTTGAAGTTGAGCCTGCTATCCTCAATACTCTTCCTGTCAAATCCCTTTTACAATTCAGATCTGTCTCCAAAACATGGCTTTCCATCATTGACAACCCTTCCTTTGCCTATTCCCACCTCTCCCGTGCCGAAACCCGCCTCGGGTCGGAGGGAGCAGTTCTCGTATCCTTATCACTTTCTCCAACTCTGATGGATCTAGGCATTACCTTTACTCGGTCGGCCTCTTCGGAGGCCGTGCTGTTCACCATCTTACCTTACCCGGCCTCGGCACCGATGTTAGTATCCCTCTAGGGGTGTCAAAGTGTAACTTTCTTAACCCTGTGAAGGGTTTAGTGTGTTTCTTTAATGGCAAGAATGTATTTGTTTGTAACCCTAGTACAAGAAAAGTCAGAAGTATCCCTCCTTGCCCTAATAATTACAAAAATACCACTCTAAATTCTTATTTTCATAAACCCTTTTGTTCTTATTCTTTTGGGTTTGATTCTTCTTCTAATGTTTTCAAGATCTTGAATATTTTTGGCACGATAAGCTTAGACGATAACAAGTTGTACAATGTCGAGTCTAGGGTTCTAACCATCAAAACCCCGGATGAGTTTTCGTTCGACTCGTGTTCGTGGAGAAAGATATCATCTTCTTTTCCTTACCCTTACCCTTTCCGTATACAAGGTGTATTTATTAATGGTTCTATTTATTGGATTGGGAAGAGGGCGCCGGGTGAAGAAAACATCGTGTGTTTCGATGTTGAACACGAGCAGTTTCGACTAATCCTCTCGCCTCCTAATGGGGTGCCATCGAAATCTAAGCTTGCTAATGTAGGGAAGAAATTAGGGATCATAAGCTTCAAAGATTATGGAGATTATTCCTTGGAATTATGGGTGTATTTTAACTCTAAATGGGTTAAAAAAGATGTAGGAACAAATATTGTTGCCCTAAAAAGAAAAGGAATAGATGCTAATTTCGCGTCTATTGTAGGTAATGGAGGCATGTTATTGACTCCTGATGTATTGTTACATAATTTTGTTCTCCGTTCATTGAATGATGGGAATGTAAAAGGGATCAGAATCTCGGGTTTGCCCGGTTGGGTCGATTTTTTGGACTACAAGAAGGTTAATTTTAGTGTATTTAACTATGTTGAAAGCCTTATTCCCCTAGACTTCACGGTTAGATTTGGAGACTTTGTGGCTGACTTGGCCGGAGTTCGGGGTCCGAAACAGGCTTTGCCTATGAAGCTGGTGACACATGAAGAGAATGAGGTGATGAAAGAGTGGGAAGGTGGACTTTTGGTGTTTGGTGATTTTGAGGGTTTTGAAATAATTGAGGACAAATCAGTTTCAGGCAAGAGATATATGAAATTGTTGTTAAGAAAATTACCGGAAAAGAGGGCCTAATTAAGAGGAAATAATATATAGTTTTTCTAAATTTACTGGCTTTTGATAAACTTTTCTTCTTTGCAGAATTTGTGTTTCTGAGATGTAGACGTAAACAATTTTCTTATTCCAGTGAAATTAATATATTGCTATGATTTTTTTAACATATATATGTAAGGTATATTTTTGCAATAGTAATTTGTTTGTGATTTCAAAGGTCAATTATTATTTTTCTTTAAAGCATACGAAAGTAATCATAATGTTTCATGTTCTACGAATAAATCAATGTATTTTTTTAAAAATAAACTAAGATTAACAACAATAATTGGAAAAGCCTCACGCCCTCACTCTTTTTTTTTTTTTTTTTTTTAATTTTTCCAGGAGTTAGGGCATTAATTAAACAAATTGAATTAATTTTAGCTTCTAATGATCAATAATTCTATTAATGACAACCAAAACAAAAGTTTTAATCATATATGTTGACTAAGCTACTTCCCTCAATATTCTTTTTTACTATCTTTGTTGTTAATCACTGTATTTACATGAGTTGATCATATCTTGAGCATTGTATGTGTTCAAATACTACATACAATCTGCCACAAAATTGAAACTGATTAGGCGTTACAATCGTGTGACTAGTCACAATTGTTTTAGGAGAGCAAATATGCTGTGACTTGTGACTTGTGACTTGTGACAGCCTTGTTACATTCTGTATCCTCTAAATAAATACACTAAAAGAAGGGCTAATTCTGCTCTTCAGACAGGGTTTCCCCTTCTTCCCCCGAACTTTCAAGAGTTGAAAGTTTGAGCTTAGACTAGTTTGGGGAGTTGGAAGTCTTTTACCATAGAAATATGAGTCGTTCCTGTTTCCTTACCATCCAAAACATCAAAAGCAACAAGTTCCAACCTATCCTCAATCATTGAGGCGTTTCTTCCAAGAAGATAGCCAACAATTGTTCACTAGAAAAGGATACTTTTCAATCAAACTAGTTTGCTTAACTTTCGCTCTAAACATTTTATATATATAGCTACAAGAGCAGAAATGAGAAGCTAAACTCTTTGGTATACTATGGTTATAAGTTTTCTGATTTGTTAGTCACTTGTTTGATGTTTTTACCCTCTTAATTTTCATCATAAGCTTGCTAGAGCGCTGAATTATCCAGATTCCAGAGTCATCAAAGAGAGAGGCAGAGTCACAGCTACTCACAAGTCACGACCATCAACCTAACTTGTATCAATTCGATCTTGATCTAGCCCTAATAGAGCTCTCCTCGATCAATGTACTTTTATAAACGATACTATAGTCTCTTAAAGATGGTTTCAAGGCTTCTTGTGATCAAATCTTGTCAAAATACATAGTTCCAAAGTGAAAATATAGCAGCCAAAACTTCAAATTCAGAGAGTCTAGACAACAAAAACAGTTCAAATGGAAGGGAATTGATACATTTATCTGTTAAAAATAATGAGGATACAGTTTATCAGTTAAAATTGATGAAGTTCTAGATGAAACAACAAATGATGTGGGAATACCACGTAAAGGGAAAGAGAGGAAGAGAGTTGAATCACTTCTTCCTTGTTATTCTATTCGAACAATTTTTCGATTCATGTATTTAAACCTACAGATATCCTCAAAGAAATCGTCTGTGCTGCTATGGCTACTCTTCATCTGAAGAATCTTTATTACCATCTTCTTAAGGTTTCGCGCATACTTCACAAATGACTCAAGAGTACTCATTTTCTGTTCAGCATTCAATGGTGATCTTACAGTTAGTACAATCTCTTCCAAACATGGAATTGAAAACTTCGAATCGACCTGCAACCAATAAAAGACAGGCGTCACACCTCAAGTAAGAGCTGTAAGACTACTGCAGAACATCCAAAACTAATTCCAATGTATATACTCTACGAAGGTTATGTTATGCTAAAGTTCACTCACACTTTTCAAGCTATTTTTCTGACATAATGCAGCAAACATAGCTCCATGGATATCAAACTTTTGGAGCTTTGGATGAGCATTAAAGAACTCAACAAAATCGATCTCAGGGAAGGGCAGAAGGTTTTCAAAGTCCCCAGTAAATTCAACCTTCATGTAAAGATACTTCACTTCAGAAGCCCATTGAAGCATCTTGCTTATGGCATCCCAACACCATTGAACACCCCTCAACGACAGGGTTTCGAGTGCCACAAGCTTACTAAAATCAACCAAGTACACTTTTCCTGTCAATAAACATTATAAGATTGAAAACTGTCAGTTCAACAGAAAATTGGAACCCCTCAAAACAGTCTGATTAGGAAAGTGATCATAGCAGGAATTTACCTCCACTGTTGGAAATCGAAAGATTTCGAAGGCATTGAGTGTCCCGAACCCTCATCCAACCACACCCTTGAATCTCAAGGCTGATTAACTTTGGACAAGAAATGGTGAGGGAATTGTTTCCAGCACCATAGAAGTCCAATTTACACTCCTCTAACTCTTTCATATTAATCGAAACAGACCGAATTCCCTCGCAACCAAGAAGCAATAATCGATTCAAATTAGGACACAAATGAAGTGCATCTACCAACGTATGATCCTCCATTCTTGCCCCAACAATTTCAAGATTTCGAAGATAATGGAAAGTCTCCCATTTAGGTGATTGGGTCATCATCACACCCCACAACCTTAAGGATTCTAAATTCTTTGCAATACCGAGACAATCTAATTTACTCGACGAATTCTCTGGACTAATTTGATGTTCCGAAAGGCTATCCATTCGAAGCTCGAGATGTCTAAGGGACTTATTAGCTACATTGAGCCAAGCTGCTAGCCCTGAACTAGAGAAAGGACAGTATACAACAAGCTCCTCTAATCGAACTACCATCATTACAATTTTCAATATGATTTCATCAGGGTTGGTATCGTCACAATCTCTCATTGAGGACGTATCGAAAACGTTTCGAGGAAAGTACAGGCTTCGAATAAATGGCATAGACTCTTTCCATCTCTTTGAGACTGAGATACAAGATGTCACATCTTTGGCATTGTTTAGGTGAGACAATATGTATTGAACAATGGCATCTGGCAATGACTCCATTTATTTTGTTCTCTGGGAACATTTAACAAACAATTAGTGAGCAAATTGAATTCAATCACCACAAATTAAATTTCAAAAAGATCCTACATTTACCGATTAATCAAGAAAGATACAGCAACAAAATCAGATGGGCAGATTTAGAATCTTGTAAACAACAATAAAACCCAAAACCCAGAAATTTCTGAGCAAATTAAGATAATTTACAGTGAATCTGACATTGTACAGCTCAATTACATCAAATCGGAACAAAAATTCAATGACCCAGAAAAATTCTATCAAATATACTAACATCTGACAGCTCAATTACATAAAATCGATTAGTAGAAACCCAATTCAATTACAAACAGATTACTCAATTAAAAGTTCAACCACCCAATTCAGTAAGCTCAACACAAAGAAATCAAACAAAACCCAGAAAAATTCAAAAACTATAAACTAAAATGAATGAAACCCAAAAAATTAGAGGGAAAAGGAGCTTACATTTGAAAGAATTAGGATCTGGGTTGCTCCCAAAATTGAGTGAGAAGAGAGAGAAAGAGAAGGGTTTGTGAGGAGAGAGAAAAAATGGGAAGGAGGTTTAAGGAGGAAGGAGCGCGGGTATAAGTGAAAGAGAAGAGGGAGGCTGGAATTTTTTCAAATTTCAAACGTTTTTATTTTTATTATTTATTTGATTTATTTTAATTAATTTGATTTATTTTAATTTATGGGTTTTTTTTAACAGTATTACAGTGTACTGACACAGTCTTGAAGTGTGAGTTTTAGGGAAATTTTTAGAAAATGAAATTTAAAAAAAATTAAAAGAAAAAGGAAAAATGAAAATAGAAGAGGCTATAAAAACAACGGGTAGAGCGGCAATGTGCAATATTTAAAAAGTTTTGGGTTTGAATTTTTTTGAAAATTTGATCCGTTGTGAAAAAGATTTGACATTTCTGAAATGAAATTAAAGAGGCTGGACCGTTGAAGTTGGGTTGAGCTTGGTTGGGTTTGGCCCAATAATATTTTGAACACTTGAAGCCTCAACTTTCAAGAATTTCTTTTAATTTTAAGCTGCAATAGTATTTCTTAATTAAACTTTTACATTTGGGTCTGGAAATATTAAGAGTAATTTTCCTTAGGGAGCCAACTGAGGCAAATCGAACATTAGTCTGTTCATGTTTTAATTTCATTACGAGTGCTACTTTACGGCTCGATTGATGTCCCGAGTTAAAGGGTAGATTTATTTAAGTTGAGGTTAATATGAAAGCATAAATAAAGATGGTTAAGAATTAAGATGATATGACATTCAACTTAATTATGGTTGGTAATGTGCTGTGAAAAAACACGGATACTTTTTTAAAAACACTTTTTAAATATAAACTAGCCTTTTGAGACATTTGATACACGAGTTGTTACTTATAGGTTATTTTTCTTGAGAAATGTTAATTATTTGTGTTGTACATTGGTATTGTCATGTACTCCGTTATAGTTAGATTTAATCTACAAAAAGAAAAAAATAAAGTAACAAAGATAGTATATTTGAAGTATACAAGAAGTTCTCCATAAAACACTATATGCAGATAAGGAGGCCAGTTGGTCATTGGGTGGATAATAATAACTTAATAAGGTTTCATACTTACATTTGAAAGTGATGATGGTAACTTAGTTTTATGCAACCTTGAGACACTAAAAATACACAATCTTGCATTCGAGAAGGAAACTGGGTACAAGGGAATTTAAAGCCTAGTTTCTCTGAAGAATTTAACTAAGAAAGACATCGAGCAGGAAAAAGTTGGATCTAACCAAGTTTAGTTGATGATGGATCATTTACTCCAATTACATACAAATTTAAAGAACTGTACTGTATTTGTGTATTACTAGGTCACTGAAAGTTCAGGGAAGGAGTATTATCTTGTATGTTGTATTGAGCACAATCACCATACAGATTTTCCCCTCGTTGTAGCGAAGCTTTTTTGAAACAATGATTAATTTCATGGATTTGACCAGGTTCTGGTTTGCTCTATCATCACTGCACAAATCTTTTTCTGTTTTATTGAATATAGGGGGGCATTTGAGACTCTTTCGATTAGTCATTACTATGTGATAATGTTGAATTTAGTACCACTTTATTTCAACTTCTGGTTGCTCACTTTGTGAGTCTTACTACTGCAAATTTGTGAGAGGGAATACTCAAATAAGACCGATAAGATCTATGTTATTCAGACTCTTCATTTGGCCAGCCTCCTTATTTCCAATAACAGGACGATCATCCCAGTCATAGTTAGCAGACTCTTGTACTGCCTTTTCAGCAATAGCTTTGCGTTTACTGGAAGCTTCAGCAACAATACTCTCTCCTTCTCATAGACGACAGACAACTTAAATTCTTCAGTTGCATCAACAATACCAGGCCAGTCACTGATATGAGTATATATATATAACATCAGTAGAATCAGGTTATAAATCACAAATGAAACAACAGTTATTAAGGTAATGTGACCTCTGTCCACCTCTACTTGAGAGTAACAAATAGAAATATGCCGAATCTTTGTAGATAACATTCTTTAATTGATGTTCCTAAAAGTAATGTCTCGGTTAAAGAGTCAATACTTCTACCATGATTATTCACTGGAAAAAAACATAATCGTAGTGGTAGTGTAGTGACTGCCTTGCTATATTTATCTTGTTGAGTAGTTTCCAGATATTAACTTTTCATAATTTTCAATATGTACGTGGTAGCTAGATCCTCAAGATGTACATCTAAAATGATGTAAAAGTAAGCAGGAATAGCGATATAGAGTATGAAACACGAGTAAAATATTCATTAAAACAATTAAAACTCCAGCTGACTGAAGTAAATAGGCATTAACATTTTATATATGCTTCAGCAACTAGGTGTGAAGAGCCACTGAAGAAATCAAGTTAGTTGCATAACCTATAAATCAAATTAGTTCAGCACACTACATGGCCATGCCTCTTCATCAGGGTCCTTGATTTCTGGCATTTCATCTTCTTCCAAAGCCAAGGCCGAAAACTATTGCTAAAAGTTCTGATGCAACCACATTGTCCATATACCTATAGAATTCCTGACTATGAAACATCAATCAAACTCTATGAACAATAATAGAATGTGAACTGCACAATATACTGATATAGCCAATTCGGCCCAATTGTATGTCTTATAACAAACCAACAAGAACTCACTGCCATTAACCAGGAAACTATGTGAATTCGATACACGAGGGGTTGGACAAGTGACATCCCTCCATATGAAGCTGCAAAAGATTGAACATTTCACAAAGATCAAGTTAGCAAGAAATTGAGAAATTGGCTTATATACCTACAAATTAATCTGCAAGAAAAGAAAATCAATCCAGCACTGAGTTTGTTTCATGGCTTGTAAATAGTAAAGTATCAAATAACAATAACTAAATACAACAATAAATAGAATAGGGAGGGGTTAAAAAGGTATAGTAAAGTGATCTTAATTAAATTGAGCTAGAACAATTACATCCAAAATTGTTTTCAAAAAAAAAAAAAAAATTACACCCAAATTGAAGCTAAAATGCTTAAACAACCAAAAATATATCCACATATGTAAAGAAATTCAACACTTTTTCCTTAACAAAACTAGCCATTACAGGATACTCATTAATAACTTTAACATCATAACCACTCCTTAAGATTTGAGGAAGGAATAGCCACCAAGCGGTGACCGCGAGGAACCCAATAGTGAGCGGACCCGATATCAACCGGTGCAACCGAAACCTCGGCACAACCACCTCCTTAACCACAACCTCTAGCGCAGTACACACCCCATGTAAAACAAAGAACCACGTAACTTCCCACGTGGGCATCACACGTGTGAAATAAAAGTAAAGCAACTCATGCATGAGACCAGACCAGTGGCGGAGCCACATTAGAACAAGGGGGGACAGTTGTCCCCCATTTTCGGAAAAAAAGTTTTTTTTTAAAAAAAAAAAATCAAGAAAATACAGTAAAAGGCTATAAATAACATATACTTACAGTAGATATCACAATATTGAATATGGTTTGGTGGTTGAGTCCTTAGTAAGGTTGTGTTTTGGTCCTAGGTTCGATTCCCTACTCTACTGTTTTTCAGCTTTTTTGTTTTTTTTTTCCCCTACTTCTTGTTTTTTTTATTACATACTCTAATTTTCAACAACCTTTTTAATTTGATTTTTTATTTCCTATTTCTTGTTTTAGGATTTTTAATGTTATTTCTTATTTCCTACTTCTTGTTTTTAATTATCACTTAACTAAGTGTGCTTAAACTCAATTTTTTTTTACATTTCTAATAAATAGATTACTATTAATTAATTGTTTGTAACTGTGTTTTAACGAAATACATATTAATAATATGATTGATTTGAAAAAGTTGAGTTTATTTTTTCGAATGTAACTCAAACCCTGGCCCTTCATATCTACCATCAATTTGTTTTAACGATAATTATTTGACTTTATGATAAGGTAATTAATTCGTATTTATCAATTATGTGATTACATAACAGGATTTACAAATATAAATTTATTCATTTTTGTTGGATAATTTTCTTAATATACAATAAAACTTTTTTACCCCTCTTTTTCCATATAGAAATAATTGGCATATGTGATTTCAAATAAATATTAAACAATTTAGGTTATCAATTTTTTTCTTGAGATTTTTGCCGAAACTTTAACCTCCAAAATTTGTCCCCCCGAATTATAAATCCTGGCTCCGCCACTGGACCAGACAAAGTAAAAGCCGCCAACATCCCACTAACAACAGCCCACCTTTTCCCAACCAGTGGCAATGCGACACGTCGAATCGGATCGTAAGCTGACAACCGTAAGATATCCGACACCATAAGATTCCATCTACGGCCCCAAAAATCCTGAAGCGATGTAGCCAAATAAGTTATAAGGCTCGTCAAATTGTGGGTCCAAGCCCAGGCCCAAAACGGCCCGAACCAAAGCCGCGGTAATTCCCAAAATTACCTCCACACCAAGGTAAAGATGACAGCAGTAATTTACTAATAGAAGAGACTTGGGTAAGTTATTACGAAAGTCGTATATTTTGAGCACAACTGCAAATGCAAGCAATTTAACCCCAAATATAACAAGAGATTTATGTGGGTTACTCCGATTATTGTTGGTGAATCTGGAGTTGACTTTTATGGGAAGAAGAGCAACGGAAATGAAAAGAGGTAAAGAGGTGTTTGGAAGAGAAGAAAGAGGGCCTAAATGAAAGGAATAAAGGAGGAGTTTAAAGTTGGCTAACCAAACAAGGTAGAAGATAGTGGGGCCTCCAAGATGGAAAGAGGAGAGAGAAAATGGGAGAATAGTGAAGAGATAGATGATTGGAAGAATGAAGAATAATCTGAAAATGGGTTTTTTGATATGGAAGATACTAGATATTGAGTAGGCGTAGGGCGTAGCTAGCTGATGCTATTGCTACTGCCCATATCTTGATGAAATTCCAGATCTCTGTTTCCATTTGATGATATTAGTACTTCCTTTGTTTCGAAAAAAATGCGACACTTTGACTAAAAATGTGTTTGGTTTTTTGTTTATGTTTAGACGAATTTCGGGTGCTTGTTTAAGTAATGAGGGTTGGAGATGTTGAGGAACGAATTAAAGCTCACCTTGTTACTTTTAGGATTGAATAATCTGAAATGGAAGTTCCAAGATATGTTATACAGCACCATTTTCCAGCAGTAATAAATATATAGTGTATAGCCAATAGGAGTATGATGGGATGAGCTGTATTCATTACATTCAAAATTTATGAATTTAAACACATTTACCAACAAATTTCCATTTGGTAACAACATCAACAAACCACGTCACAATCATCACGACAAATACTGTAATTAATTACTAAACCTAACACTAAAGTGCCCTACTCCCTGTCTTCCTCCGTCTCATAATACTCCGTGTATATGTATAATACACGTTTCTCAT